TCGGAGTAGAGAGGTTGGGCAAAGGTAGGGGGCCTTTCCCATCAACAACAAGGAAAGAACTAGTAGCTCAAAGTGTGACCTATGACACAATCCCAACCAAAACATGATCAGATCAGCGGTTTCACATGATGCGATTTCTACCCAATCGAAATGATAATTTTGTCAGCACGGGAGGCATGTTATAGTTCTTGGTTGATCCAAGTCAGTGAACATGCCGTAGATCCGTAGTACTACTACTTCGCACCGCTCATGCCTTGGTCCTCTCCTATGTGCCAAACGGAGGACAATCCAATGCTCACGGGCCATACAAGTTGTGGACCACGGTCGAAACTGTTGGGGCTGATGACATGATGAGCATCCATAGCATCAGCTTTAGTGGCGATCCCCCTATAAACAACAAATTATCAAAGTGTACACACTGCTGTACGCGTAGTTTTCTGAACGCCTGATGGAGATCGATTTGATATACGCTTAATACTTGTGCAATTCCAAACATAGTCGGGGAAATTCAATGAGCAAATGCACTGCAAGAAATCCCTCTCATATTATGAAGAATACGCAGATTCGAATAATGATCTTGTTTGCAACACCTTACAATACTCGCCTGGAGAAGCGTTGTGATCACCCCAAGGAGCTCCGGGTATTCCTGTATGACTACTGAGAACACCTCTAGGGAGTGTAACTCTAGGGATTGGCATATTGGTTCGGTCCGATACACTTACTGGTGAGAATAGCATAGAAAATACTCTACACTGTGGAGCTGTTGAATATAAGGCAAATCATTCAGCATCGTAGGCAGCTGAGCCTTGTCGAGAGAAAGCAAGATAGTTTTCGTGGAGAACTTGACAATTGTCGTCGGCTCGATGGTCAATCCATCTGGTATTCATGCACTCAGTGTTGGAATATATGTTCGGTTTCCTCAGCTCAGCTCAGGAGTTTCCTCACCAATAATAGGAGTTCGTATAAGGATTCAGGCAAAATTGTACAGAAACCAATAAGAATTCCCTCAAGTTTCCTCGGAATTCCACATCGGCACCTACACATGTAGTTGACCATGTGCATTTTTTCCCGCACTGCGTATGATACGCTGCTCTGTATCTTGATATTTTTCCTTGATCCCTCACCGAATCGAATGCATAGTTTTACTTTGTCCAGTTACTTCACGACAGTATTCTCGACACTATCGTCAATCTTGGCCTCTCTTTCGATCGTTAGAAGGGCGTGTCCCTCCTTATTACTAGTCAACGGACCGGGAACCTGCGTACCTGTGGTCGCCGCCGTCATTGTGCTAGAGGCGTTTGGACTCCTATCTGGTACGGATCGTCATACACTCTCCAGGAAACATCCCTTCTCCCAGGTCATTGCGGCATCGTTTTCGTGGAATCCATCTGCAGGTGAAATCGCTTTCTCTGACTGGTTTATATTCTACTACTTGGGTCTATGTGATCTCATTGTGGTTC